ATGAATTAAGAAAAAAGAGTTTTGATGTACAAGAAACTACTTAATTAATCAAGATTCAAGAGAACGTTAAGATGATAATTACACATTAAGTTTTCTTGATTTGCCACTCAATAATGACATTTGATAGTGCCCACACTAAAAAGAAAGTGTGAATATTAAGTTCACTTGGGTTTCAAATTAAACCCCACCATATGTTAAAAACTCAACAAAAATATTGATTTTTTGGTGGCCTAATTGGACTTTAACTTTCATAGTTTTGAGAAGTGAGCAATAATAACAACCATAACAAACACTTGTGGAGAATGATTATTTTCAACCAACACAAAAATACATCATATGTAAAGAGATTAAGTTTTAAGCATTGATAATAGAGGAAAAATTAAATATAATTTGGTTTTAATTATAAATTATAAGGTAATTACAGATAAATCTCCATAATACGTTAAATTTGATAAAATAATAATTGATCTGTTATTATATCTTAAATTTCACTAATAGTGAAAGAAAAACAACATGAGGTATAACTTTTAATAATAATTGGAAGTGGTGTAAAATATGTGAAATATTAATAGAAAATATAATATTTCTTAATTTTATTATTCTTGATCGATGTAGATCGAACAACTAACTCTTAACATTTGTAGGGTAGTTGGTATCCTTCATTGAATTTTACTTTGAAATATTGTCATAGTTTTACTTTAAAGAAATTATCTTTTAAAAAAGATATATGCATTCATAGTCTAACGTCGTAAAGGAAAATTTAGATTCATATTATGCGTATGTTTGGTAATAATTGTGCCTGCCTAATTCTTATCTTGACACTCATATTGAAAAGAAGGGTGCGTTTGGTATAGTGAAAAATATTGGTAATTTTTTTTCCAGAAATATCATTCTGGAAAACAAGTTTCTTATAAATGAGAAAAATAAATTTTGTTGTATAAGTAGAAAAAATAAGTTTCATGAATTGTATTTCATGTTAATTGTGTTCTCCCCATTCTCCAATATGTGCACCTCATCTTTACCCCATCCTAATAGCCCTCGTTACCAACAATCCATACCCCTGCCACACAAAAATGCTTTTTAATAGAACTTTAGTCTTGGTTGATCGTAATCAAGAAATCACTAATTTCACTTGGTGGATTGAAATTGTTTGACTTATCAATTTATCTGATAAACTACTACTATATTCTCATCTCCAATTTATTTTTATATAAATATTTTTAAAATAATATTTTTTTATATATCAAACATTAAAAATATAAATAAATAGAAAAACTCACATATTCTTCTTAAAATAATATCCATAAAGTATTTCTCTTCGCATCGAACGCACCTAAGGTTCAAATTCTTAAAGTCAAAACTAGATAATTATGTATCATCACTCTTTTTAAGGTCACTATATATGTGAGTTGTCACATTATGAGAGGAGCAATCAAAAATATAATAATGTGATAAACTAATAATACAGAAGATTTCATCATTACATTTTTTTAATCCTTTTTCTATCAACAAACCCTTTTACCCTTTTCATATAAAAAATTAAATCAATTTCTAAATAAGCTCTTTTTTCAAAACAAGACAAAAGAAATGATTAAATTTCCTTTTTAATTTCCATATAAGCTTTTTTTCCCTCAATAAACAAATTCATACCATAAACTGTCGAATTATATTCAATCTAATAATATCGATGAAAGTCATCCACACAATAGCGTAAATTCACTTCTCAAAATCCCTCCCTTCCCGTTGCCAAATTGGAAAAAAAAAATCACAAAATAGGTAGCAAATATTTCAATTTATTAGTAATTCTTCCGTTTCAATTTATTTATCATATTTTAACTTGACTCTGAACTTAAGAAGACGACTTTTGAATCTGATGTTTTTCAGATATATCAAAAAAAAATTGATCTTGTAGTCTTAGGCATATCACATGAAAAAATTAAAATCAAAGAATATAAAATAGATTTCATAACTTTCAATGAAAGACAACACATGGTTGATGGTTGATTAACTAACACAGTCAAAGTAATATAAAAGGAATAAAAGTTTGGTGAGACAGTTAAATGTGGGGAACCTCTTTGTCTTTAACACTAAATTAAAGTTCCACTAGAATTGGAAACTTATTCATCAAAAAAGAAAAAAGTCCAAGAGCCATTAGGCATGAGTATGACACAACACAAGAAGTAAGTGGAATTTTGGACCACATAAATCAAATATTTGTTTGAACTTTCTGCTTTCTGTTTGGTGTTTTCTAACTTTATAGAATATTCCCCCATTTAATAAAAAAAATGAAATGATTTAAAGGTTCAAGTGTGACATCCATTTTGGTATCTATTTAAAAATTCTAGAAGATACCCACGTCACCATGACACCTAAATGACCTAATCATATTATATCTATAATTAATTATTCATGCATGCATGAGTATAAATCAAAATAATACTATGTGATAATGGGAAACCAAGAATTTCACTAAGGATATTCAAAATTTAAGAAATATACACAAAATACAGATAATATTAGACTATTTATAAAAATGTAGTGTAATTTTCGGATGCTTTCGCCACTTATAGCTCTAGTAGTTTATTTTCTTTAACGATATACATAGACTATACTTTGATTATATATGTTTATACACATATCATACATGGATTATGCATATATACATCTGTGGCTATCTTTAGTCTAAGCAACGATTATCTTTACATAAATAGCCGGCCGGAGTCATTGTTGACTTTTTTTTCTTGCCGATATACATAGATTATACACATATTACACATGAGTTATGCACATTTGATCAGTTGACGAATACTTAGGTTAATTCTTCTATTTTAATTGACTGCCTTGATCATATCTTTTTTACTAGTTAGTCTTGATTTGATGCAGATGTTGACATGGGATCCACATTACATATCAAATGTACCTGGAGAACTTGGTTTACTATTTGGATTAATATTGTGGGCTACAACATTTCCAGCAATTAGAAGAAGAATGTTTGAACTCTTCTTCTACACACATTATCTCTACATTCTATTCATGGTTTTCTACGTACTCCACACTGGAATGTTCTATGCCTGCATTATGCTTCCTGGTTTCTTCCTCTTCTTGATCGATCGATACTTGAGATTCTTGCAATCCAAGCAAAAAGTTCGTTTGATTTCAGCCCGAGTTTTGACTTGTGAAACTCTTGAACTCAACTTCTCCAAAATATCAGGTAAGCTACAATTCCATCTCTCATTTCCAGGTTACTTATCTCACTTTTTACTTGTTCTAATTTGTAGGTTTGGAGTACTCTCCGACGAGCATTATGTTCCTAAATGTGCCAAGCATTTCCAAATTGCAGTGGCATCCATTTACTGTAACTTCAAACAGTAACTTAGAATCAGATACAATTAGTGTTGTCATTAAATGTGAAGGAAGTTGGACTAAGAAGCTTTACAGTGTCATGTCTTTGCCTTCCTCTGTCAATCGTATTGATGTTTCTGTTGAAGGACCCTATGGACCTGCTTCCACTCATTTCCTAAGGTTAGATATGTTTAACAGTATCAGTCTGAAGATCTTTTACTCTCTCTGTACATAGAGCTTAAACTCTTCCGAGTTGATGTAGTTCCACTATGATATGTTGTGATGGTGTGGTCAATTTTGATGACAGGCATGATACATTGGTGTTGATCAGTGGAGGAAGTGGAATAACTCCATTCATTTCAATCATCAGAGAGCTGATTTATATGAGCTCAACACTGAAATGCAAAACTCCCAAGATCTTATTACTTAGTATGTTCAGGAACACTTCACAACTCTCAATGTTAGACCTTCTTCATCCTATAGCAGGCACTCCTTCAGGATGTTCTTCTAATCTTGACCTACAAATTGAGGCTTATATAACCAGAGAGACTGAACCATCACAAGAAAAATCTGAACCCCTACGGACCATTTTGTTCAAACCTGACCACTCTGATGCACCCATAACCCCCATTTTAGGCCAGAACAACTGGCTCTGGCTTGCTGCTATAATATCGTCTTCGTTTGCTCTGTACCTTCTATTTGTGGGACTTCTTTACCAATACTATGTTTACCCTATGGATCATGGTACTAATAAGGTATTCCCATACCACACAAGGGCTTTGTTCAACATGTTGTTTATAGCAGCTGCTATAGTAATTGCAGCAAGTGCAGCCTTCCTATGGAACAAGAAGAAAAGTGCTAGGGAAACTAAGCAGATTCAGGACATGGCAGATTCAGCAAAATCTTTAAACTCGTTATTAGCTTATGCTGATCAAGAGCTAGAAAGTCTTCCTCAACAATCGCTCGACAAATCTATCAAGACACATTATGGCCACCGACCTGATCTCAAGAGTAATTACTGCAATATCTTTGCATAATCAAAACTACTAAGTAGTACTTTGTTTCCCAACTCTCTATGCTTGGTAACTAAATGAAATTCTTTTGCAGGAATATTGCTAGAAGTTAAAGGATCAAGTGTTGGAGTACTTGCCTCTGGACCGAAGACCTTGAGGCATGACGTAGCAGCCATTTGCTCATCTGGGTTGGTTGAAAATCTGCACTTCGAGTCCATCAGCTTCACCTGGTGATTTCCAGAGCTACCTTAAAAGGACTCTATAAGAATGCAGCAGTATCTATGTAGATATTATCCCCTGTAATATGTTCCAGTCTTCTGGTTGGATCAATATGTGTATTTAAAATAGGTATTGTGGGTATGGTTGCCCAAGATAACATTACTTTTTGTCGAATATAATATGTAAGGTATTGTAAGTAGCCTTTGGAAGAGGAAATAAGGTTCATGGGATTCGAATGGAACCTGTATTTGTCTGAGAAATTAGACTAAACTATGACCATCTCATTCCCAACTTATTATTGATGTATAACCAAACAACAGTTTCTATAACTTTAACTAAGACAAGGTCTGAAACTTCCCAGTTTCCTAGTTTTATCTTTCCATCAACAAATTCCAATTCCCACTCATTTTTCATGTAGTTAAGGCAACATATCTATAATATCCTATATCCAGTTAAAAGAAGTTAGCCAAACCTCAGACCGCCTCAAAAGTGTGGCCAATACTACAATCCACTCTTTGAACTTCACAGAGCACATATGAGACAAAAGGAACTCTGCATCTAAACGACTTTCCAATGTTTCCATCTGAAGCTGATGATTCAAACGAAACAAGATTATCAGTATTAGTATTAAGTTCAACAACAGTTATAGCTGAACATACTTTAAGAATGCATATCAGCAAACATATTACCAGAATTACATCTTAAAAAAGAAATTCGGGCACCATTTGGGAACTCATTAGCATAAGTCAAAAGTTATGAACTGAAACATCTATGGACATAAATAAGGAACAAAGCATGAAACCAAGAGATTGAAATTAATTTAAGAGTACTTTTCCGAACACAAAGATCAATAAACTCATAACTTGATCATGAAGTAGAAGCTTCTCATATTCTCTGGAGACAAAATGCCCCAACACATCCCCAAGAGAATAACCCTTGTGATGCAAGAGCTTAAAATAGTTTATGGACATAATTCACCCTATCATCCATCTGATATGAAACATCTAATATGATGATACATTTGTGGCATTCAAAATAGCGTTGCCAAGCAATAATTGTAAGTACCTTCTGCCCAATAAGTTCAAAGCCTGAAGCAAAATTGTCCAAACGAGCACTTCCATATCTTTCTCGCTGCAAATATTCCTGCAATACATTTATATCACATGATCTGTTTTTAATAACATAATAAGATACAATCTGAAATGTTTGTCAATCATACCACAAGATCAAACTGTGTGCCCTTCACAAATGCAACGAGCTTTGACAGTTCTTTTCCAGACATCAAATAGCTTGCATGACATTCTAAAATATTCTTAACAGAAGCAACATGTGCACTCTGCTCCTTAAATGAACTGCTCCAAAAAAAATTATAAGAAAAAGGAATGAAGTAAGTGCAAGTCTTCTTCCATCATCAGCACCGGAATCTTAGGTGCCAATTTTTTCTAAAATAAAACAAAGAACTGGCACTAATTAATGTAGCTACATCTACCCTTTGGACTCCAAAGTTTGCCTCCGGTGACTAGAAGGAAACAGAAAATATCCAAAGAATCTAGGAGATAGCTTCTCAGAATCAGTGGTTGTGGGTTCATATTCCCGTCCAGATCTGAGAAGAAACCTCACCTGAAAACCAAGCAAAAAAATGTGAACAGTTCACACAAAGAAGACAATTATCTTGTTAAAAACATGATTGACATCAAAGTTCACACCAGTTCCCCTGCCAGTTCGTATAAAGACTCATCCAATGTTGCCTGGGCAAGTGGAGAACTGTTGGGTTTTTAAAAGGTGTTAATGGAAAATGAAGAGTTGCGATTTTTATGAAGAATTGTGACTTTAATGAAGAGTTGTGATTTTTATGAAGAGTTGTGACTTTGATGAAAAGTTGCGACTTTTATAAAGAGTTGTGAATTTTATGAAAAGTTGCGACTTTTATGAAAAGTTGTGACTTTTATGAAAGGTGGTGACCTTTCCGAAAGATTGTGACTTTTCCAAAGGTTTGTGACCTTTCCGGTAAGGCACATTAAGAACCTTTTCACACTACCCTTTGTTTTCTATAAATTGAGGGATTTCTCTCATTTTAAGATAAAATTTCTGAACTTCTTCTTCTATTACTAAATCTAGTATTCTAAGTGTACTTTACTGCCGTTGAGTGGCTCGCTGACACCAATGTTTTGGGTATCAATACACTGGTGATTGAGTCATTCTATCCTGGGAGGACATATTCCAAATCAAACCTCGGATACTAGAGGGGAATAATTTCCTTAAGGGGACACTGTGCATTCAGTGAGCTTGATCTTCTTTCCGTTTTTCCAGATTCTGGTATGTGTTATAGATTTTAGATTTGTGAATTAATTTATGTTCTTTTGTTCTTCACTGGTTCATTAAACTTTGGCAACTTCGTGTTTCTGCAAAGTTTGTTGGAATCAGTAAGATTCTTTAAACACAAAGTGACAACAATTCTTCTTTAAGAAAAAATATTTCGTATTTTTTTTCTAATTTGTTTCTGATTCTAGTTTCTCTACTAGTTTTAATTTTCTAGTTGTGAAAATGTTCTTAAACTTTATTGTGTCTTACCAAGTTCTTCAAAGTTTTGTTCTAAGTATCTTAGGAATACAAGATGAACAACAAGAACACCATGTGAGGTCAAGGAATAAGTCCAAACTTGTTGATGTTACTGAAATTTTGACTTTACCAAGCATGTGTTCATTTGATTTTCCATTTGGAAATAAATTGAACTAAAGCTCATTGAGATCTTCATAAAATTTGAAATGCCTGGGACCAAATATCATTTATCCTTTACCCAGTCAATTTGATGTTTTACAGACGACAAAAGTCATGGAAATTGTTGAAAAGAACATCCACTATCGACATCCTAAACAGTGTGTTTGACACATCTAAACGAAACCATTCAGCGACAAAAATTACTTAATCTTGGATTGTTCATTAAACTTTTTCCTTGTACATATGTAACTATATCTGCAACATTTTCTGCCTATTTAATTTCTTCAGCAGGATAATACTTCAATGTATTACATGGATAAAAGGCCAAAATTCATTACATCTGCACGTGATTACCTGCAACAAACGCAATGCACAATACTGACTTACAGCTGGACCTTCAAGCTTAGCAATTACCTGCAGCAAGAAGTATGTTAAGTAAAAGACATCCAAAGGTAAGATTTCTTCAGAGATATTTCTCAACACAAATTAAAGTAGCCCCAGACCCCTCCTAAAAAAGGGGAAATTTAGAAGAGATATACAATTTGTAGCTGAAGACAAGATGGAGATTCCAGACAGAAATTTGAAACTGAAAGCCTGTAAGGCTGTAACTCTTACTAGTATATAGCAAGCGGCAGTTCGATACCATCTCCTTTGGAAACATTCCTCAAATAACCTAAATATAAAGACAAATTAGCTAATAATGGAGTTCGACACAAGCAGAATTTAGTTTCTACAAACTATGGTCTATCTAACAGGCTTTTAATATACATTAAAGCTGCTGTTTTGTTAAAACTCATTCAGTAGTGTCGTACAAGTTAAAGAATAAATTCTTTTACATACTCGGTCGATCTCCCAGCAGTAGCAAACAAATCTGCCCAATGCCGGCCATCAGTCTTTCTTGCAACACTAACGACCATGTCAAAGTACTCCGGAAAATTTCTAATCAAATCACATGTCTTATCCAGAAGTGAGGAACTTGTTGAATGATTGGGAATAACACTCTGATTCTTGCTCCTGTAAAAGAAGACGCATATTTTACTACATGATGGAAAAATTAAGTGTGTTCTGGGGGCTGGCAGAGGGAGAAAAAAGAGCTAAGAGAATACTGTCAGATCAAAGTCATAGAAAATTAGTGACTACCTCAAGAAGAAACTTCCAAGTTCCAACAAAAGATGCCCCAAGAAACAACATTCAACAAAAATAAACTCTACCTCATTTTATATAACTGTTTTTTTCTCAAAACTAGTACTATTGTCAGGGTCAACTGGGTTTTCTTAAAACAATTCTATACATCTAAAACCATTAAATTTTAGAAGTATGATTCTTACTACTTTTTGTATAACTTTGTGAGTATGTGAATTGTAATTTAAATAACTAAAGGCATTGATGTAAAAAAAATTAATCTTGAAATAAGACTGTTGGATCCTTGGTACTCCATAAGTGTTCATTATGAATGGGTTGGAGGGAGACGGACTACTAGAGCAAGACATTATTTGTGATTCAACAATGTTCCCACGGAAGCTTCCTGAATATCAGAACTCTAAATTCTGGAAAAATATCCATGATAAAAAGGTCAGCAGGAGTACTTTGGATAGCAAGTGATAATCTTACAAATTAATTAATTGGTAAAAATTACCCAGAAATGTCGGCTTCAAACACAGTAAAAAGGAGCCACTCTAAACAATGCGAAAAATGTGGCTTCTCTGCTGATAATTGTGCCAATCTTAGAGCTTCTTCCTTTTTATCCTTCTGCCAAAACAGTAAGAGAGATCATCACAAAAAATGAAGTTGTTTGTTAATTCTGTTTCATGTGAATCCTCGCGGTTAACAAACTATAAAGATTATAGCAGCGTCACGGAAATGAATGCTTATTCAGATGAAAACAGAGACACCTAAAATACACACACAGACAAAAAGAAAAAGGGAAAAAATACGGATTATCCAAAAAAATTGTCTACCAAATTATCAATAATAGACATAGAACATGAATACCTACTAACAGGTGCATGGATTAGCATTAAACACGAACGATTAAATGCATAAACGTCCACAAATTGAGCTGTATAAAAATCTTCCAACAAACAAAAAATTTTACATTACATTTTGTCAAATAAATAAGAAGATTGCTACCTTATCATGAAAAGTTGTGTACTTGTGACTTCTCTTATCAAAAATCACATTTTTCAATTTTTTTTTATCAAGTATTAGTATTTTCATTAATAAATATGGACAAACTGACCGTATACAATGACTCAATGAGTATACCAAAAGTAAAGAATTTATAAAACATGATTCTCTACAAACTCCACCCAGTCAAACTGGAACTTTCTGTTTACACCAAAGGAAAATGAGGGATCGGAAACTACTCCTCAACTGAGAGAAACTCGATTCCTCTCCTACAAAAACTCTCTTATTTCTCTCTCCAAACAACCCACATGAAAGCAAGCGGAGCCATGTTTCAAGCCCTTCATCTTCTCCTCCTCCCACTCTACCAACTGAACATCAACTCTTTCAGTGTCAAACACTGCCAAAACAGCCGAAGGGGTGCCAAACCACCTAAACATATCCCACCATAATCTCATTGGTTAGCCCGCAATGTATAAGAAGATGATCCACGTCCTTGCCCGCCTCCTTACACATGTAACATCTAGTAGCTAGCCATGTGAAAAAGCACACATTTCTCAGACTCCACCTTAATCAAAAGTTTCTCATAAGGACTTCAGAGAGAACACTCCATTTCCTAGGGCCCACCACCAACCATCGAGGCTATCCACCGGATTGACTTGCATATGAAGGCTAGTAATCTTTGAAATCCACCCACATTCCAATCTTGAAAATCCCTTTTAAATCAAAAATCACATTTATAACTCAATAAAACAAAAACTATTCCTCAAGTGCAAAACGTTTCATCTTGTGGTACTTCTCACTCAAGTGCAAAACATTTCATCTTGTGGTACTTCTCATTTTCTAAATATCTAATAATATTTTTAAATATAAATTAATCATCATTCTAATGCACAGAAAATACCTCAAATAGCTCTGAATAAACAAAAGAAAGCATTCATCTAGGAGTTGCACCTTCCATGTTCTGAATCTGTTTTGCATCAGTACCACTGTCTCTTGTTCCAAGCAAATGCAGCACTACTTGTGACGACTATAGATATGCAAATGATTAGCATATTCAGCACAGCCTTTATTGGATAAGAAAATATATCATTAGTATTTTTATCGATTGGATATATGTAATATCTATCCAATATTCCCAGGGAAATCAAGAAAATGATGAAGGAAGATGATATGATAGCACCAAGCCAGAGCCAATTGTTTTGTCCAAGAATTGGAGTGATAGGCTCATCAGATGGGTTGGGCTTGAACCATATGGTCCTCATATTCTTCTTATCTTGTGTTGATGTAGGTTGTTTTTCTCTCGTAACAAATGCCATGAGCAGAGAAAAGAGTCATTACAATATGGCCAAGCCATATATGATATTTAACAGTAGCTTCTGATGTCAAACCAAACATTTGCAACACAGATGAGACTCTTGTGACTGGAACAAATAGAAATGTAAAAGCTATATTTCCAACAAGTCCCAACATCAGCCCTGAATATTCCAACTTGCCTTCCCATCTGTTATAAACCAATCCAAAATTATAACAAAAAAAGTGAATTTAAATGTAACAGATTTTTAAGTAGAGGAGTTCGTGGTAGCACGGGATCAATATAAATTATTCTTTCTGTCTCAATTTATGTGGCATAATTGAAATTTGGAGAGTCGTCCAAAATCTTATATGGTTTAAAAATATTTTAAGTAGCTCAAATAGCATATACTACTCTCTATGTCCTAATTTACATGGCCTATATAAAAATTTTATAGTTACCAATTTTTTTTTTATATGTTTCATATATTTCAAGTTGTTAATTATTGTGATTTATAGTGTTTTTTTATGTTATTTTAAAATAATATATGTTAATGTAGGGATAGAATTTCAAGAATCAATCGAAATTTTTATATGTCTTTTAAATATTGATGATGAGTAATTATGGTTGGCACACATAGATTTTTGTTTATGAAAAATCAAACAAATTCAAGAATTAGAGGATTATATAATTAACTTACACTTTTTCTCCAATTGTGGCTACATATTTTGGTGTAACAGTGGGAAAAATAATATGCAAGTAAGAAGCAAAACTCCAAATTAAGAGTGAAATGAACATCACAAAAAAGCCAAGTTCTATTTTTGATACAATTCCTAGACCCTTCATGATTATTGGTCTCCTCCATATAGCCCACTTTTGTTTCTTCTCAATTCTGTTAATCACAAAATACAAAAATTAAAAAAATTACTAATATATATTGATTTTGCATAGAGAGTAGTATATGTATTTGAACTACTTAAAATATTTTTGTTATAGACCTGTTGATGTTTCTATCGTTGGAATTCATCGATAAATGAAGGTATAAACATCCCAAGACAGCAACAAATAAAAAAGGAAATGTGTTCATCAACAGTGTCTTTCCTGTAAAGAAAAAAAATGCGTAAATTTAGTTTAAGACGATAAGATTTAAATTTTTATTTTTTTTGGTGTCAAGTCATAAAAACAAACGTGTAAATTGACACGAGGGAGTAATATATATACCTTGAGCTCCAAAGTAAGTGGAGTTGGATGTATGAGCTATGATCTTTGGTTTCCAAATGTTATAATACATATTGGTTGGTGCTATTATCAAAAGTAGGAAATATCCAATAGTAACAATTATAAGTAGAGCCAATATTATTTTTTGAAACTCAATATTGCTCATTGTTGAGGTTCCATTAATAGAAGGAGAGGAGGAGGAGGATTTTTGAGCCATTTTTTCCCTTTTATCTTTTTGATAAAAAGGAGAACTTTTGGATGGAGAATTTTGAAAAGGAATGAAGTTTTATATTTGTATTATACAAAATTAAACTTTTCCCTATATAATTTAGGTCTACAAATTTAATTATACAAAATTAAACTTTTCCCCTATATTATATTAATAAGAAATTGAGTGGAAAAATAGTAACTTTTTTAATGAGTGACAAAAATTTTAATCAATATTTCTAAAGATTTTCATGCCTTTAATATAGTAAAAAAAAATAATCTACATTTCTAAAGAGCTTCGTATTTTTCATATAGCAAAATATTTAATCAATATTTCTAAAGAGTTATAAAAGTATGAACAAGTTTTATATTTGTATAACTTTGAAGTTCTTTCTTGCAATTAATTAAAGGGTTAACTATACTAGTGATTCATGTACTATTAATATATAGGTTGTATTCGTTGATACAAACCTCGCGAAATATTTGCTATGAGTAATAAATATTGAAACAAAATAGCGAGCATTTAATTGTTAATTTAGAAGTTAATTACTAAGATACATGCTAATTGTAATATTACATTTTTTTTTAAAATTTAGTGTATCTAGACACACGGGATCAAAACTATGTGTAATTTGTTGTAGATATATTGTATCCAAGTGGATTTGCATATATATGGGATACATCGACAAATCTCGCTCACCTCCTTCGCCTCCCTCCCATCTCACTCGTCACTTTCATATCTCGCTTGCGTATCTGGTATCTAAGATACATGCGATCTGGTATCCAAGATACATGTGAATCACACCAAATATATGTATCTAGTGTAATTC